AAGTTGTAAATTTTTTTAGTTTGTATGGTATTTTTCGTAGTTGAAAGTCCTAAGGTGTTTAGGTAGCAGGTGCTTTTCTGGATTGTGGACTAAAAAAACAAAATAAAGTTAATGAGATTGTTCATTTATAAGCATACACAATTAGTTCCTCGATGCAAATTTATGTTTTTTGTTTTTTTGACATGTTTATTAGAGCTAATCATACATGCATTTTGCCTCAGGATTCAAAACTTTGAATGGTAGCTTTTATTTAATCACAAACATGTCTTTAGATGCCACATCTAACTAGAAACCTAACATGTAAACATCTTTACATCCATATATGTACATTAATTCAATGTTTGACATTCAGATTAAACACCCAAGCACATAACATATGAATACTGTGAGACCTTAGAGTCAATATTTATATCTTTGTGTTAATCATCATCTTATATAATTTCTGGAAAGGACACAATGAACCTGTTCATAATCTATGAAACCTGTATCTATGAAACAGGTTTTCCCATTAAATGAAAATGTAAATAATGAAAACCTGTATTTATCTATCTATCTTCTAAAATGAAACAAGTTTTACTTGATCATTTTGAAGACTAATGTGTCCAGATTTTTTATGAACACCCTGTCCCTGTCCCTTGTCTAGATTTTTATGAAACAGGTTTTATAGGTCCAGATTTACTTGAAACCTGTCCAGATTTTTTATGAAATAGGTTTTACTTGATCATTTTTATGAACACCCTGTCCCTTGTTGGCTGAAATCCCCATCCTCAACTAAGTCACTAATATGATTGTTATTTCTTTTCAAAAGACACGAACAAAATATCTATATTATTTTTTTTATTATATATATATATAAAGACTAAGAGGCAAATATATTATCTTAATCTAAAAGTAGATAAATATAATTTTTCAAATATGAAAAAAAATCTATATTAAATAGAAATCTGAGATAGTGTCAATCTAATTTATCCAATAAATAAATGAAAAGGTAAATTACAAATACATCCTCTGAGGTTTGATTAAAATATAAATCACTTCATGTAGTTTTGGAAATTACATTCCACCCCCTAAGGTTTTGAATTTCATAACAAATTATCCATTTTATTAATAAATTATCAAGTTAATTAACAATTTTTAATGATGTTATAAATATGTTTCAATTAATAATTTAGGTAATTTTATTATTGTATATGAGAGTAATTATGAATTTCTTTTTTTAGTTAATTCTGCTAAATAAATTTTTTTAATAAAAAGATATTTATAATTTTTCAAATTATAAGAAACAATTTATATTTTAAATAAATCTTAAGAAATGTATTTATAATTTACCTTAAATAAAATACTTAATGAATAAAAGAAACATTTTTAGCCTATCACTGCACCACCCAACATGTCCAGAATGACAGAGACTAAAAGCAAAAAAAAAAAAGAAAAATGCTTCGCACCCCCAGTATTGGAGACCCATAGTGACCCCCAGTTGAGGTGGCACGTCACGTGATTGTCACCTGACTTTAAGACCCAAACACATCTTCACATTTCATTTTGAAATCTCCCCCCCTCAAACACGTATGTCTTCGCTCCAACGGTAACCACTCCGATGCCTGACCCTCACTCCGACGCCGATGACCACTCATTCCCTTCACTCCGACACAGCTCGTTCCCTTCACTCGCGAATCTCTCTGTCTCTCTTTTCCTCTCATCACAATTAAGAGGTAAATTTATCTGGGTATACATATATATATATATATATATCTGTAGCCCCGACTCTCTCTATGTATATCTACGTAAATCACTCTTTGGAAGTGGATTGAATACTGAATACTTGAATTTGGATTGAATACTGAATACTTTGAATTTGGATTGAATACTGAAAAATTAAATTTGAATTTGGCCTTTTGATTTTCTCTGTCATGCTATCTGATCTTAGGGATTGAATTTGGCCTTTTCATTTGGGAATTATGGCCTTTTCATTTGGAGTCTTATGTTGCCATAAACCTGTTCGATGAAATTCCTCAACGAAATGTTAAACCTGTTCATAATTAGTTTTATAAAGCTTCATTATAGTGATTTATAAACCAGCTTTATGACAGTGATGTATATCTGTGATTTACGCAGGTTACCTGTTCATAAGCTGAATTTGGAATAATACTGAATACTTTATAAAGTTGATTTACGCATGTTAAACCTGTTCATAAACAGTGATTCATGCAGGTGTCATAAAGCTGTAACATACTTGAATTTTGAATTTAGAATAAGCTGTCATAAAGCAGTAACAACGAAATTTGGAAAAAGCTACTATCCTTGATTTGAAATTATGAAAACTTGTTCATAAACCTGTTCATAATCTGTATCTATGAAACATAATCTTGGAAACCCGTCTATCCAAGATTATGATAGGATAGACATAATTTCATAAACCTCTCTATCCCAATCTTGGAAACCTGTTCATAATTTCATAAACCTGTTCATAATCTATGAAACCTGTATCTATGAAACATAACAAGATGGATCCAAGATTATGAAACATAATCTTGGTTTTCATAATTTCATAAACCTGTTCATAATCTATGAAACCTGTATCTATGAAACAGGTTTTCCCATTAAATGAAAAGGTAAATAATGAAAATCTGTATCTATCTATCTATCTATCTTCTAAAATGAAACAAGTTTTACTTGATCATTTTGAAGACTAATGTGTCCAGATTTTTTATGAACACCCTGTCCCTGTCCCTTGTCTAGATTTTTATGAAACAGGTTTTATAGGTCCAGATTTACTTGAAACCTGTCCAGATTTTTTATGAAATAGGTTTTACTTGATCATTTTTATGAACACCCTGTCCCTTGTTGGCTGAAATCCCCATCCTCAACTAAGTCACTGCTTGAGGGGCTAGTGTCATGACAGTTGGTCAATGTAGACTAAGAAATAACACTTCTATCTGAATGAGTGCTATTAGCATCCAATGATTGAATGAAGTCACAAGCACCCTGTCCCTGTAAGAATTTAAATAGCATTATGAAGCATGAATAGCTTTTAAAGATTTATTTATCCAAGGAGATAAATTTCAGAAGTGCAAAAATAAATGAATAGCTAATATCACAAACCAATTCTATGGTTCCACATACAGTTATTGTTCCATTGCTTAAAATGACACTTTTGTTCTCATAAGCCATCACCACACCTCTTTTTAACTTCTAATTCCATACTATTACTGCCCATATTCTACTTAACTTATAGATTTTAGCTTAAATAAAGCAGAATCTAACTGTTTGTTACAATTTTATGACACCAACTACAACTTCTAATAGCTTTTTTGGAGGGTAAATAAGCTGATTTTCATAATCACCTACAAGGGTGATTCTGATTCTGAGCTTATGCAGAAGGTAGTGCATCTTGAAACCCATCACTCGAACTCCATCTCTCAGCAGCAGCAGCAGCGTGACAATCTGAGAATGGCAGCTCCACCTCTCTGTGAACTATTTTTTATTAACTTTAGGACTAGTACTATGATAAATGTGTTCCTTTGATTGGATGAAGTGTGCCTGGTTTGAAACTTTCTTGTTGGTTTTTATTTTTAATGTGCTTCATAATGAATATATGCAAGTGCTGTCATGTTAATATTTGTCCCTTTTTGTAGATGTCAAGTTCAAGTGTCAGTGGCAGTAGCTTAGATTGGTTGACATACGTCAACAGAAATTGTCGTACACGTAATAAAAAGGCCACCATTTTAATATCATAAACCGATCGAAACAAAAACAAGTTATTCTACTCTGGTAATAATTGTGGTTTTATCAAATGGTGTTTACCTACGAATCCAGAATATAGAGGTCATCGAATTCCAAGAGACGAAGTGCCAACTGTCGGCGAATAAGTTATGACCGAACAACTTCGAGCTATGACCGAACAACAAATAGAGATGACGGAACAACTTCGAATTCAAAGCACAAAGATGCAAAAGTTGATATGTATATTGTCCGTGTTGCTTGTAATTGGTGTCTTTAAACTTATGACTATGTAATAACATATATATACATATATGTAAGTTAGAAGTAGAAGTAGATGTTAATGTACGAGTTCAAGTAGACTAAATACTTTTGTGATGTTTTCGAGGAAGTTATGTTTTGTTGTGTATTGAAACCTAATTATTGTACCTCTTTTGTGGTGAATGGAATGGAAAATGACTTGTTCAAACTTGTATACTTTCTTCAATACTCATTGAATCGACTTTGTTAAATACAGGAAACTGTTGAATACAAGGTAACTATTGTTGAATACAGGAAAACTATTGAATATACATGATTGAATACAGTGAAACTATTTAATATACATTGTTGAATACAGGGAAACCATTGAATATACATTGTTAAATACAGGGAAATTACTGAATATACATTGTTCATCACAGGAAAACTATTGAATACACATGGTTGAATACATGAAAACTGTTCAATAAACATTGTTCAATACAAAGAACTGCTAAATAAACATTGTTCATTACTAAATATTGCAACATCTTCATTACATAACAAATAATAATAATAACATAACTTCATTAATAATTTTTTTTTTCTCTCTCTCTGTCTCTCTCTTTGTCTATATCTTTTCACCAATTTTTTCATCTTCTTCTCTCTCTTTTCTTTCTCTCTCTTATTCATCACTCTTCTCTCTCTCTCTCTCTCTCTGTCTATTTGACTCTCTGTCTCTCTCTGTCTCTCATTCATTTATCTCTTCTCTCATCTATCTTCTCTCTTTTTCATTGACCACAAAAAATTAACTTTATTTTAATAGAAAATATTATTCCTACATTTACAAAATAAAAAAATAATAATAATTTTTTATTCATTAAAATAAATATAAAACAAATAAATATTTAACTTTACCAAATAAAAAAAAAAATTCATCAACTATAAAAATTATTTTAAATCTAATATTATTCCTACTTTTTTTTTTGTTCCCCCGCTTTCAAATCTAACCGTCCATCTCTCACCATCTCACTCACCTCATCTATGACAAACAAAAGAAAAAACCCTAATTGCTGTCTATACCTCACTCTCTCAGTCTCATCTCATCTCATCACTGTCTCTCTCACTCTCTCGTTTCGTTGTTAATCTTCATGTTTTGCACCGATCGGCGATCACTCTCATCTTATCACTGTCTCTCTCTTACTCTCTCGTTGTTCATCTCATCGCACCGATCGTCTCACTCTCTCATCGCACCGATCTACTCACGGGTAAGCCTCTATCTCTCTTAATCTTTGTCTCTCTCTCTCTCGCCTCGATCGAATCTGAATCTGTGTTTTGTGTGTTTGTTTTGGTCTGAATCGCATCACACCGATCGTCTCACTCTCTCATCGCACCGATCTACTCACGGGTAAGCTTCTGTCTCTCTTTTGTTGGACCAACAGATCTGAATCTGTGTTCTGTGTGTTTGTTTTGGTCTGAATCGCATCACACCGATCGTCTCACTCTCTCATCGCACTGATCTACTCACGGGTAAGCTTCTATCTCTCTCAATCTCTGTCTCTCTCTCTTGCCTCGATCGAATCTGAATCTGTGTTCTGTGTGTTTGTTGGACCAACAGATCTGAATCTGTGTTCTGTGTGTTTGTTTTGGTCTGAATATGTGATCTGAATCTGTGTTCTGTGTGATCTGAATCTGTTTGATCTTAGATCAAAGGTAAGAGTATACGTCTGTTATCTAAAAATCAAGGTCTGAGATTCTAGATTCTTTACAGTGATTTTTTAAATGATTAGGATTTAATTTTATAAAACTTGAAAATTAAATTTGAATGTTTGTGTGGTTTGTGTGTTTTGGAATTAAATTACACGCTGCAAGTCTTCTTCTCAATTTTGGTCTCTATTATATTCATTTGCTTGATTCTGTGTTCGTATCCTATTTGCGTTCAAATTGTGCTTTTCACTGTGGAAATTTTAGTCTTTTTGATTATATATAGGATGGTGAAAGAGTGAAATTTTCATTTCTCCCCCCCTCCCCCTTTTTTTGCTAATTGGAAGTGAACAGGTTTTTTGTTGGCTCTGTATTTGAAGGTTTTCGGTTCTTATAGCATGTTTGATTCCGTTACCAGGAACTGTATTTTTTAAAAATAAATGTAGGAAATAAAATGACATGGAAATAAAATCATGGGGTCTTTTATTTTGTTATGGATTTCTTCAATATGAAAAAAAGAATAATTGTTTGTGCGTGTGTTTAGTGAAGCAAAACAGTAAGGAATAGTGTATCATTGAAAAATGCTTGTTGTTCTAAAGTTTTCGGAAAGTTTGATGGTGAGTTTCGAGGAAAAAACAAATGTCATTATATATGTTTGTTTCTTTATTTTAGGTTTTTGAATTTTAAACAGTGGGGTCTTGCTGTTGGAAGTGTTTGTTAGTATGCCAATGGCTTATACTAACTTTGGAACCTTGGGGAAATATATATTACTTGTCATTTTTTTTATTCCAATTTGGGTTTTAGAACTGCTTGATGTAGCTTTATCTGCTTGTCATGCTTTAACAGTATAGTTACTTATATCAGCGGATTAGATAGTGAGCTAAGCTAAAATACTGCTTAGATGTTTTTAACAGATAAATTTGGTTGATGGAAATTTGAACAGTTGCCACTTCTACCACCCTAGCACCAAGTGTCTAAGAATTGCGTGTAGTTTGATTTGGTTGTTTGGAATTTATGAACTGATCTAAAATGGTCATGACACTTCACTTAATCATAGTTTGATTTGAATAGGTCATTGCGAAGTCACATACCAGGGGAACTTATAATTGGTGAACATATGCCAGAAGTGGGCGTGGTTGGGGTGATAAATGCATATGTCTGAATCAGCATAACTAAAAGGTGTAGCGACTGTGTTTGCATGGAGATGAGCCCCATACATACTACCAAATCTGAAATATTTGTTGTATAAATTTAGAAGTTGCTTTGAACAGCCTTTTTGAACAACACACGCAAGTGAGGGCAGTGGGATTAGCACCTTCATACAGTTGTTAAATGAGTATGTAATCGTCTTGTATCTAACACATTTCCTTTTCGGTAGATAAATTATCCACGTGTCAGATACAGGGGGATGTTCTGTTAGTGTGTCTACCACACCAAGTTTTATAGTCTTCTAATGTATCATAAGATAGAACCATGAGAAACCCCTTATCAAGATCATATTTATTCAATTCCATAATAGAGAACACAACTATAGATTCTAACCACACAGCCAACTGTATATGAATTTATCTAGTTGCTTTAGGTCAATATCATTAGCTCGTTATATAGCTATCTTTGTGGTATATACTGGAATCAAATATTTTTTACTACTATGTAGCATTGGTAAGCTGATGCTTTTGGTTGATCTTAAGAGGAGCTGAGTTTCTTAATATCCCGACTGTTAAAACAATGTTTTTGTTTACATCTTTGCACTTCCCTCCCTCTTAGTGCCACTGCTGCTGGTATGCTAGCCTAGCATTTAAGAATGTGATGATCTAGTGGTATGATGAGATTATGCGAATCACTAGAAACATGTGAATTGTATTAAATTTTGTTAAATTGCGATTAGAGTGGACTACTAATAATACTTATCAAAAGGGACTACTAATAATACTAATAATTCGAACTAGGTGAATTTTTTTTTTTTAACAAAATCAGTTAATAGACTAAGGTTTCTTAATCTGAGAATATGATAAATAAATTTTTGACTCTCTTTTTTATTTATGTTTTATTTTACTGCTCTTTGGGGGTGAAAATTGGGATTGTGATATTATTTTTTGCCTTATCAATAGAAAAATTGGGAAGTGCCCATGATACTATTCTCTCTCTGTTATTTCCCTCTAATGGAACATATTGCTATGCAAACACAATTTTTTGTGTTAACCTTACCATTTTTTAGTGAACCAATTCTTACCCATTATACACCTTCAGGTTGCATCTTGGTAGGACTATGGTTATCAAACAACTGCTATGGCTTACCGTACTGTCATTGTTAATAATACTTGGAATAACACGCATATTGCTACTGTTGGTACTGCGATGTCGTCTCCTGAAAAGGCGGCTTGGGAGATTTTCAACTCCTTGGATGTGAAATATGTTCTGGTTGTATTTGGAGGTTGGTTTTCTAATGTTGCTAAGATTATCTTACTTTGGGGAAACAAAACAATATTCTGAAGTTTGACTTTACAGGTCTTATTGGCTATCCGAGTGACGATATCAATAAGTTCCTGTGGATGGTTCGTATAGGTGGTGGTGTATTCCCTCACATCAAGGAACCTGATTATCTGGTATGTGTGAGGGGAATCAGAAACTAAACGCATGAGATTTTTTCAAGCACATTTTTAACACCAAAAAACTTATTGATAAGTATGTTATGATCCAATTTATCAAAATTTGAATGTTTGTAATGGTTTTAATCAATGTTGTGCACCTAAGAACATGTTTTCTAGATGTTATTGGATTTTAGGTTGGTATTAAGGCTTAAAAAGTGGAGAATTTCGTCTAGTAGGGAATTGCACTATCTAGAGTATTTAGAAATGCTAGTAGAATAGATTAGATAATTCATAAAAATATAGTAATTGCAAGTCAATATTTGTTGTTACAATGGTAATACAAGTAATATGACAACACTAGTGGCTAATATAAGGTATGCTATATGTATTACCTCATTGATTCATGAGTTTACACGTAAAACAAATGACGTATATGACTCTTAATTTTTTGAATTAGTAGATTACCATTTAAAATTCATAGTTTTTATTTTAAATCAATAAGTTAGTAATATAGATTAATGAAATTAGGATTTTCAATTAAAGAATATGACAATGAAGAATTTAAAAAGAGGAAAATAATTTAAAATAAAAGAATAATTTGAGTGTTAATGTTTAAGGAAGAATAAGAGATTTTCAGTTTAGAGTTTTACTTTTAAACATTTTTAATGTCTTAACAGAGGTAAAATTGAATATCGTACCATAACAGTGATGTAATGGCTTGTAATCTGCAGTTGCGTGCAGCTTTGACTTTTTTTGTTATGGAGCTCCAAAATCCCTTTATGTAACAGCTATTACATAATGTAGTGGCCGTTTTTTAAACTCATGGTTGTCAGTCTTGATTGCACAGAGCCAAAGCTTTCTGGTTAATTCTGGTTGATGGCTTCAAGTTTAATATATAATGTCATGAGAACTAATTTGTTTACATTAGAAACACCTTGCATTGTATCCTCTTGTTTAGAGATTGAAAAACTTGGGCAAGTGATTGAATGTTTCCTCTTGGTTAAGTCTAAGCTTTGTTATGTCTTTTCTCTTTTGGTGGTAATAAAAGCTTACTTACCAAAAAAACAAAAAAAGAATGTTACAGATTACTTGACAAAAGCTATGATATGGATAAATTAAAACATAGAAAATGATACATTGTTTATTTTTCAGATTTAAAAATTCAAGTATTGTCATGTTGACAAAAATTCAAAACCTATTGCATATTTTTGCGTGTCATTTGTTATTCTCCAATCATGAAACACTAAGTTCTCTGTTTTGTTTACACATGCATGTCTATTACTTATTATTTTTTTTATACATGATTAGGTTCATGTATGCCTGTTATATCTTATCTTTTATGGATTTGTTTTATCTTAGCATCTTTTGTTTTAGTATGGCTGAAAAAATATGATATATATATATTGTACCTGTATCTGCGCCTGCGTCTGCACCTGCACCTGCTGCTGCTCCTACCTCTACAGTTACTGCCATGTGAGTATTTTTCTTCTTTGGTTAACTTGTGAAGACTGAAGAGCATGATTTTTTTTTGTCTGTTTATTTAATTTGGACAATACTGGTTACCTTTGTTAATCCAATAATGTGTGTTCAACCAGACTAGAGTCTAATGTCTATGGTCAAGCACCATCGAATTTGGTTGCTTGAAGTAACCTTGATGGAGCGGTCCGGCAAATTCTTGATATGGGTGGAGGGACTTGGGATAGGGATACTGTTGTTCGAGCTCTTCGTGCTGCTTACAACCTAGAGAGAGCTGTTGAATATTTATATTCTGTCAGCGTCTTTACTTGTATTTGATCTCTTTTGTGAATTTATTTTTCAAATGGGAAGTGCAGAAGCATGACGAAAATTTTTGTTTTTGATTACAAGCCATTATGTAATCAAATTTTTTTTGTTTTTGATTACAATTTTTGTTTGTGAACAACATTATGTATTGGATAATTTTCTTGATGTATTGTTATGAATGGAAGAATATTTTAATTATGGATGAATTATTATTTTTATACTGGACTTTTTATATTATTACGTAATTATTGATTTTTTTTTTTAGTTATTTTTCATTTAATACAGGTTGTTTTCATATATTTATTTATTTATTTTTTGAGAGGGCAGTCCACTCACCTTCTCAAATAGGGGTTTTTTGCGATGGCAGTAATGCATCGCAAAAGATAGGGCATTTGGTTGAAAATGAGGACTTTTAGCGACGGTGTAATTTGCTGTCGCCAATAGTGCTTTAGCG